TTGAAGGTAACTTTCTAAAGGGGAATTTCCTACCATTACCACAACCCTTATCCTAGCTACCCACAAACATAAAAAGCTTGAGTTACTTGTGACTGAGATCATGTCAGACTGAAATGAAGCTTATTTTAAAGGGAAATATTGGGTTAATTATATTAGAGAGAAGGACAAATCAAATCCTGTTCTCATGGCTGACTGATTACCTCAAGAAATATGCTTTTATCTTTTTATTTCTTTAACTGCTACGTACTCTTACTGATAGGTATGTCAGTGTCATCTTAACATGCCCATATCTAGTTCAAGAAATAGGTATTATTTACCCCTGTAGGAGTAATATCTTGTGGTTCATAAAAATATCTTATGGTATCTTGGGACTTGAAACATTTATAGTTGATAAATTACAGTAAATTGTCTCCTGAACTGCATTTTACATAATCAACTCCTATTCTTTTTGAAAAGGTGTGTACAGTCTTCATTTTTCTCTTCTCTAGGTCCCATCAGAACTTCTTTGTGTATCATCAGATTTTCAATTAACATTTTTCCTGAATAATCTGCACTGCTCTTGCATGGCTTCTCAGGGTCTAAAAAGTAACACAAGCAGAATAACACAAGTTTTAGTGCTGGGACGTGGTTCTAGTGCTGTCACAATCTTGTGCAGCAGTCTGCTGAAAATACTAGAGTTTATGGTAAGCTCAGAACAGTAGTTATGTACCAGCTTGACTGTCGTACTTAATCAGACTCTTCTCTAGAATTGTTATGGGCATTTAAGGATCGTTTGATGTACAGTCTGAGACTTCTGCATCAGGAGAACAAAATATTTAGAGTGAAAATCTGAACCTGGCACTGATGTATAACTTACTATAAAAGCACCCACCATTAACAGGTCATTGGAGACATGCATTCTTGTTTTTGAGAGAGTAAGATCTGGATGGATACAAACTATGTGAGGAACCCCTCAGTATGTCTGAGAGGGTGTGAGGTTTTGAGGGAGGAACTATACACTTTGATTGGAGAACAAATTCTCTTGTTTTACCTATGATGCAAGAAATAATGGATATCTACAGATCTAAGACCACCTCCATCATCAGAAGCTATTTGGTACCTAGCAGTAAAACTTGCGCAAACCTTTTGAGAGAGAATATTTGTGTATGTTAGGTGGGTGTAGGGTTTTTTTCTTCATAAATATTAGTTGACTAACCTAAACTGGATTTACTGGTTCATTCTTAGGAAGATTAAGTTCCTTATGAATTACAAATAATAGGATGCATGTAATGTAACCTACATATAGCATCCCATAGGGAATATACAAATGGATAGTCACCTATTTGTAACTTCTGTGCTCCTATTACTATCCATTAGTTTATTTTCCATAGAGATAGCATTTGGGTTGTAACTCTCTTGATTCAGCTCCACTCATAGTTAGTGAAAAGACTCTCACTTAGGTAGAACTATATTGAGATCCATAAGGTTTTTTTTCTTTCTTCTTATTTTAATCACAGTCCAGTTCTTTTCTTTTTAAAGAAAGCATGAGTGCTTAATGCTGCTCATCTGTCTCATGTAGTAAATATAGTCTGGTCAGAGTAAGTTAATGTGAAGTTTTTTAGGACCCGGCTCTTAGCTCTTAGGTCCTGTGGGCTTCGTATCCTACGTATGGTTGTATTTATCTTTCCAGTGTCCATAGTGGACAAATTTAGGGCAAGATATGAGGTTGGTGAGAAACAGCAGCATCAGACACCCATGATATGACAAAATAGGGTCCAAGGCGGTGTTAACTTAGTGAGTGACATGAACATGAGTTAGGGTGTTAGGTCTATGTTTTGTCAGGGTTGTCAGTAGTTTCATGAAGTGTTTAGATTATGGTTTGGATAGGGATAATCTTGCCTCAGGCAGGGAGTTGGACAAGATGACCTCTGGAGGTCTCTTGCAAGCTCTGTTTCTGTGTGACTGTTGCATGCTAAAGGAGTCGGGCAATGGCCAGCAGGATTATCAGTAATCCATATTGTTTTAGGCATAGGAGCATGGGCAAATAAGATCAAGACATTCACACCAGAGCATAGTCTAAATCAGGGGTGGGCAAAATGCGGCCCCTGGGGCGCCTAAAAAAACTAAGAAAATTAATATTTATCTGCCCCTGGCTGCCTGTCATGTGGCCCTTGATGGCTTGCCAAAACTATGTAAGTGGCCCTCCACCTGAAATAATTGGCTGCCCTGGTCTAAATCAGTGGTTCTCAGTGTATCTGAACCTGCTGTCTACCTCTTCTGTGGTCCAACTTCTGCCTCCCCTTTTGAATAGTCCAGCATCAGGCTGCTCTGTACATGCCAGTTCTGGCACAGGAAGCATCAGAACTAGATATCCCCGGTCTTAAGCCTAGATTCGGATGTGGGGAGCAGCCTGGTTCCAAGAACAATTTGTAGGGGAGGGAGCATTAACAGCCAGCTGCTCTTGTGGTCCACCAGTGAGAATCACTGGTCTATACTGTATGATCAGCATACACCTTCACAGCAGACAACTTTTACCAAAAGATATTTTTCTAGCTCGTTGCATAGTATTTGAGTTAACGGGAGAATTATGTGGGCAGAATAACGGAATGTCTGAACAGCTACTGTGGTTAGGGCAGTCTCTGAGTTTGGTGTTTTGTACAGGTAATTGACTGGGCAGGGAATTCATTTCCAACCTATTAGATAACAAGCATAGGCTAAACTTTGGGTTCTCTTCTAAATTTGGTCCGCCTCAACTAAGCCACCTTCATCGGAGGACTGAGGTACAACTGTCTGACTACAAGTTCTTAAACCATTCTAGTTGCAATGTGTTTGGTAACAGTTTTATGAAAAGGCTGTTTGACACCTACAACACCTTTCTAATCTTCAAAGTGCTTAGATATTATACAACCAGATTCTAATACTAGGAGAAATGGGATAGAGTTATGTCAGAAGCGTGGCTTTGTCTGTGTATATCTTATGTGTATGTTAAATCTAGAAGAACTTCCTTCTGGGTTGGGTACTTTTGTATACTTGTATCAGCAATGTGCCAGAAGTGTGTGCACCATTAGCACACATCCTTCCTTTGATCTAAACAGCAATAAAAATTATACTGGTTTTGTCATGGACCAAGCTGCAAGCAGTTTATTAGAGCAGAGTTAGAAGATTGTTCTATTTAATTCACGTGATATGGTGTGATAGCTTTATCTGTTTAACAAGCTGTAAAACATGCAAGCAGTCTTTTAAAAAGTAACCACGTCAAGACCTGTAATATCTAATCTTGTATGATAAAGTGAATTAATGTTATCCTTGATAATTCTGAAAGAAGTGCCTGACTTTTCTTTGCAGGAAAAAAGAATCCAAGTTTCTCAGCCTTTAACAAGAGGACCAAGTGCCTTTATACCAGAGAATGAAGTAAGTTTGTAAGCTTAAAATAACCACAAGTTTTAAAATGAAAATGTTTGGGGCCAGAGTTCATTGTTCATGTGGGCAGTGAGTGCTACTTTAGATCACGGAGAGTCCCGTTTTGTCTGGGGGTGATTCTGGAAAGCAGTCACTGCAAAGATCAGATTTTATGCCTCAGTGAGCCAGTCGGTTTGCTATTTAATACAAATGGCACCCCCAACTTGTCTGCACGTGCCACTGCTAGTTACAGGTTGCCACATGTGTTATAAGTGGCATGGGCAGCCTGTGTGCCTCACTGCTAGCCAAACTTACTGAGGATACAAGGGCTTTTACTAATTTCATACAGGAATCTGAGGCTACAATAGTTTAAATTGTCTGTTAAGGAGAAAAAAAACAGCCATCTGAGAGACGAGGAGGGTTCTAGTTAAGAAAGCACTACTGATACACAAGAGAAAGTATGATAAGAAACCTAACCATGTAGATTTTAAGAGAGCTGCATAATGAAATTACTGTACCAACAGAAGTCCAGGCAGGCACAAGTCATTTTGGCAGTCATTATTGCATATGCTTGGCTGCAGTCTCTTTCAAAATAGTGGAATGAATATTGGAATAAACTTCTTAGCGTATCAAAAACTACAAGAAATGAGTAACATTATGACACAATTTGCTAGGCAGATTTTTTGCTTTTGGCGATGGAGTTGTTGACAGCATTTCTAGTGACAGTCTGGAAAGCCCCAGCTCAAATCCAGCGTGGGCCTGGCTACTTCTCCCTGCTCTCTGGCCACGGCATGGGCAAAACCCACCCCCGGCCACCAGAACGCTGACAGAGCCCTCTAGCTCGGCAGGCTAGATCTGATTCAACCCCAGAAGTTGGTGAAGGGGAATGTATTGAATTACAGTTGCAAATCAGGTATTTGATATATTTCATTCAGATGCTCTGTGATAGATTATTATGATGAAAGCTGAAAAGTAAAGGCAGGTAGGGAAAAAGATGCAAGACAAACATGAATGAGAAGATGTCTGCTAAGATTTTGAAAGGGGAATAAACAGCACACTAACAAACTTCACAGATGATACTAATGTTGGAAGAAGTAAAGATACCTGTAAGGACAAGAGAGTAGTATAAATGGAATTATACAGGCAAGAAATATAGTTCAAGAAGTCCACCTGGAAAATACAAGCTAATATATTTGGTCAAATTACCCAAATATTTAATGTGGCGATAAATGAGGGAAACAGTAATGCTTAAAGGGTTAGTGTAAGTCTTTCGCTGTATACGGAAGGGGCAGCAGCATATGACCTATTCCTTTCTCAACAGAGCCAGTCTAATTGCACCTGAAATGCTCTTCTCAGTTCTGAGCAGTTTGTGGCTGCTAGCAGACATTCAAAAAACAAAAGAAAAACCTATGCTTTACCAAAAGAAATGGTGCATTACTTCAACCCAGCTCTGCAGCATTTGTATAAATCGGGTGCTTCAGTAGGGCTTTTTGGTGCTTTTTTTTATCTAATAGCTGATTCAATCAGCTATTAGATAAAGGCGCCAACAAAGCCCCACTAAAGCACCCAAAATATACAGACATTTGGGCAAGCCAGATCTGACTAACGCATTGCCTCTTTTGGCCATGCACTAGGCTGGGCATGGGAACATGCCAAGTGTAAAATAAAGCACCACTTTTTTGTTTGCTTTTTTGAACAACTTCACGCAGCCTTTTACAAGATAGAGAGACTAAGAAACTGGATAAAATTCAGAAAAGATTAGCAAAAATCACCCAGGAACTGAAGGGACTGAAATAAAGGAAATACTGAGATGAATATGTACCTGAAGAATCCTTAGAAAACTGAAGTAGACCTAAGTCTGTAAGTAGTAGTTGAACTGTTTAATAACTGAGTAGTGAAGGAATGTTATTTAGAATGGATCAGGGCGGTATAAGATGGACCAATAACATGAAATTAAGAACAGATGTAATGTGAAAATCAGAGTAAAGCTTGTTGGAAGGCCTTTGTCTTAGTAGAAGTCACTAAGAAAGGAATTACAGAGAAGAATTCTACCTGAGGTAATTGATTGGGCTAGGTAATTAATTACATGACCATACAAGTCTTCTCCATTTCTGCCTTCTCATCCAACATGGAACACCAGGAAATCTCGAGGTAAAAAGTGAAGATGCAGTAACTCATTCAGGCTGATTATTTATTTTCAGTGACATTTTATCAGAGCAGTATTTTGACTCTCCATTTACAAGCTAACATGACATTGAGTATTTGCTACAATTTTATACCTTAATTTGTGATACATTAGTTGGAATGGGAAGGAAGGTTGTGGTAGTTTTAATGATAAACCAGCTACCTAAGATTCTGCTGGAGGGGAGTTAAAGTGTAACTCGGGTTTTCTAGTCTTTTGCTTGTAATCTTTTATTTATTTTTAAACAATTAACATGGTTAGACTGAGTGTCCTTGGAGATAATATTAGCTAATAGATGCTAATATTTTTGTTCAGGCTTGTATTTCAAGAGCTGCTGGCTTTTTGTCTTTTGGGTTTGTTTTCTTTTAATACCGTGTTATTTCATCTAGTATCCCAGGAACAGAATTTGCTGGAATAATTAAACAGTAGCTTTAGTTTTAAAAAAAAAGCTTTATGCTCCTACTTTTAAAAACTGCTTGAATATTATGGCGAAATAACACTTGATCTCTCTAATTATACAGACATAAAACTAGTAAATGCCAGTCCACTTCTCTGCTTTATATGTATAACCAGGCTATGCACCATTATTAACTTTGAAGTAACATTTAGGGGGGTGGTATGTGTTTGTGTGGATTCATTGACTTCTACAAATTTATCTTGATTTGTACCAGCTCAAAATCTTACTTTTAGAATGACTTACTGAAAAATGTCCTTGATCATCTTGGCTGAATATTAAAGTAGCAGACTGAGTATACAGGACTCAGTTTTCTGCATACTAGTGGTTTCTTATTGGTTTTGTCAAGTAGTGTCTGCCTGTGTATATGTCTGACCACTCCAAAGTGTATGGAAGTTGGAAATGTATGTGTGTGCATATATATGTGCACCATGAAAATGTTTGAATCCAGGTTTATATGAGGAAAAAAAATCTTTCCTGGTTTCTCTGCTTTGTTTTCAAAAGGTTATGCAAGCAAATGGCATAGATGAACGTACAAACCTTATCGTGGAAGAATACTCAACATCTGGTCGCCTGGACAACATTACACAGGTCATGAGTTTACACACTCAGTACTTGGAGTCTTTCCTCCGCAGCCAGTTTTATATGTTGCGTATGGATGGACCCCTTCCTTTGCCCTATAGGCACTACATTGCTATAATGGTATGTACCAAGACGTGCTGTTTCAATTCTCATTCTCTTACCTGCTTGACTGCCCTTGAACGGTCTCCTTTACAAAGTGAGCTTACCTTGGCTCCCTTCTGAGGGAAGAAGCCTGGCCACTAACTCAGTCCTTTTCTGTGAGGAGTTGGAGTTCCTGCCACTTGATAATTTACACTAGGTTACATGTCTCACACATGTCCATAAGTGAAATTTCATGGGCAGTGTTTAAAACAATGGCACCTTAAACCTGCTTGTTTTGGGTAATCACCCTGTTTTCATCCAAGGAAAACTAATTAAATTGATTCTTATTGAAGAACTGGTCTTAATTGGGTACAAATACCATATTTACTTGAATACAAGAAATTTTTTTTCCATCCAGTTGGTATGGGGAAAAAAAAGCCCCTTGTCTTATCATATACACGGAAATCTCACTAAGTACATTGTCTTTCATTAAACTGCTGCCAAAAACAGCAAGTACTTAACAATGGAAACCAACTATGCAGGTGATTTAAACGCAGCCAACACTAAGCATGACTATAAAACATAGGGCCTACGTTGGGCAAACCCAAAAGGATAGGGTGGCACAGCCCATCTGAATAAAACATAGTAGTGCCCATTAAGAGCAGTCCCCCTTGCTACTGACACTTGAAAGGCATGGGGAGCCACTACAATGCATACATTTTACTTCCTCTTCACTCCCACAATTGAGCTGTGCCTTTCTTCACCATTTCCAGTGATTCCTGCTTCTTCACCAGTCTTAAATGCCTGGCAAACATCACAAAACTGGGCCTCAAACAGTTCACCCAGAATCCCTCTGTCACCCCCTCTCTCAGCCTGGCACATATGATTGATGTGGCCCTGCTCTCCAGGAGGTGAAGCCAGACCAGGTTGCCCTGTGCCTCATCTGCAGATAAATTTTTGGAGGATCCCAGGACTTATGACAAGAACACCCAGTTCCAGTCATGAGTGAGAGCTAATCATCACATAGATCCTTTAT